ATTTATGTATATATGTGTATGTATATATATACACATATATGTGTATGTATATATATATACATATATATGTGTATGTATATATATACATATATACATATATTATATATTTATGTATATATATATATATATATATGTACATTATAGTATATGTGTAAGTAAGTTTAATAATAATAATATATGTTATTAATTTTACAATATAATATATGCATTTTATACATTGGTGAGCATTGGGACTAGCTAATCCTCCCTTTTCACATGGGATTAGTAGTCCCCTCCTAAGGAGGTGTTTTTGGTGGGCCCGGTATTAGCAATCCCATCTAAGACTAGGATTAGATAAAACAAACATGGTACTAAATTTAGTCCAAGCCAGTCCAAGCCAATCCAGTGTACCAAACGAGCCCTAAATGATCTTAAATTCTCAATCAAATCCAACAAGTGGCATCATCGACATCAATGGTGTCTTTGGTGGGGAACAAAATTAAACAATTGAAAATGCGAAGGATACAAAGTTTGTATCAAACAGGGGCATTGTGTTGTAATAAGAAAAACAAACCAAAAGGGCTGGTGGTTTCATATTCTGTATTTAAAATCATTCACATGCATTAACACTCAAAGTAGTGGTGGCAATTTCCGATACTGATGCAATACACGACTCAACCCACACAAAAAATTAGCCATTTAATCCGCATGATTAAATTTTTGAGTCAATCAACCATGACCCGTTTAATAAAATACATATATAACTTGTTTATTAAACGGGTTGTGTCAACCTGTGAAATACACATAACTCGTTTATTTAGTTCTTCTTCATTTTCTTCATTTTTGGAATTTCTCTTCCTCAATCATCATACATACAGAGAGGCAAAATATAATCACTATTTTTTTTATATATAAAAAAAAAAATTGCAAAAGTGCAATTACTTGATTAAATTATCCAAATTCAAGTTTTTTACTTGTTTTTTTATGACCTTGTGAATTTGAGATGTAGGTCTTTGTTGTTTTTTAATTCCTTCTTTTTATTTATTTTTACTTATTCCCAATACTCAATTATCCAAGTGATTCTTGTAAGTTGTATGGGCCATGATGATGCACACATCTGGGAGAATATAAACTAGATGCATGTCATCAATTAAAGTCAATTTATTGCAGGGCTTTAGAAAAAAAAAAATTATAATTTGATTATGATAAGAATTATTTTTTTGTTAAATTATGATAAGAAATCAAATATAGCAATCCTAATAATTTGTTAAACATGTTATTAACCAGCTAACAAGTTTAAAAACCTGTTTAACA